AAAATTTAAATGAAAACTTCTTTTTTTTTTTTTTGATTATAATTCTTAAAATTTTATGAACATTATGTAATCATACCGCTTTACAATTTTCCAATGAATTTCAATGTAATTTTTTAATGCATCATTTACCAAAATTTATCATTGCTCTTGAAAAAAAAAGTGTGACAAACGAAAAAGATAAATAAAGAATTTTTCATTTTATTCAGTAAAAATGAAATGATAATTTCAACTGAATTCTTTTTCACTTATCACCTAATTTTAGAGATTCCAAAACGCAGAAGTTAAATCATTTTGAATGTGATGCAAAATTATTTTCCTCCATTTTTATCACTGCAATGTTTTTCAAAGTTTTTCTGAAAAAGGAAAATTAAATAGTTCAAAAATTTAAATGAGAAGAGAAAATTGAAAGTTGAAATTTTGTTTCAAATTTGCTATTGCTTAAATTTGCTCCAAAATTATAATTTGCACAATAATTCTCAGCTCATTATTCTTTTCATCTAGCATTTAAAAAAAAAAAAGGAGGAAAAATTATTATTGCAATTTTAATGGACAAAATTGACGAATCTAAAAATGTTAAATAGCATTGCCATACATTGTTTTTGAAGATAATTAGTTATGCATTATTAATAATTTAATTCAAAAAAAAAAAATTTTTTTTCGATCTCAAATTTTAGTTATGCAACAGTTTTTGAATTTTATAAAAAAAATCATTCATTTTTTTTTCAGAGAAAAATGCATTTTCAACTGAATTCATACCATGAAAATAGTGCTTTTTCAAATAAATTCAATGCTTTTTTCAAATTGCGCTTACAGTGTGACAATATCGCCTTCGTACACAATGACCTTGTAGCTGTCCAATATCATCTAGCACCACTAACTTTTTCATGAATTTCCCGTGGTGTATTTTATTTATCTCGCATTTTACACTCACAAAATATTACAGTGATGATTTTTTTTTTTTTAAATTTAAAATAATCAATTGAAAATCGTTCGAAGTATGAACGATAAAGGTATCATTAATACTAATTCAACATTTGCACCATGAAAAAAAAAACTGATCGGTTTATGGCTACCAAAGCAAATTTCAGAAAATATATTTTTTGAATTATGCAAATTATTAGGGATGAATTTGTCAAATATTTTCCAAGTTTTACTTCATTACAGCTAATTGCTATTGTTTCACTGTTTTATTGATAATATATAGTATTAGAAAACTAATGCGTTCAGTGAAATTCAGCTGAATTTATTTTAATTAATTCTTGTTTTTTTTTTTTAAATCTTGAATTTGGTTTTATTGTTTTTTACGGCATTTGTCGTTTTTACCGATTATTATTGAAAAAAAAAAAGACCTATTTGCTCCATGACCCTATTATTCAAATGTTTGTTATTTCATTTTGAAACCGGAAAATATTTCCAACTAATATTAAGTATATCATTTTTATATTATGAATCTACTGCAATATATTATGTTTTAATGATGCGAAAGTTAAAAAATGTCGAGGATAGAAGCCGCGCTACTTTTACAATATATTATCGCATGAATTCATTTTATTGTCTGCTTAGTGATAATTGGATTTTAATATGCTGTATGCATTAAAAATTAAAATTTCAAGCTTATTATCTGTTTAATTTAGAATGTCTGTCAGCAAGAACTCAATTTAAATTCTTCTTTTTTTTTTTTTATTATCACTCTCTTTCTTAATCCATTTCTGCTTCATATGCAAATGAAGTGACACAGCGATAAATTTTAATTTGAATTCCATTTTTACAGCATATAATATAGCTATTGTAGTATAATTATTTTAAATAATAGATTACATCCCTGAAAAATATATGTTCATAAAATAAAACACAAAATCTACAGAAATGAATATAATTTGCTGAAATTGATTGTTTATAAAAATTGAATATATACCTCATAGCTTCTAATTTATCTTAAATTTTAAACAAATTTTTTTTTTCAATGTTTTATGATGAAGCCAATGTTTACTTTGTAAAAAGGGGAATTGAAAGAAAAAAAGAAACAGAAAAAAAACAAATAAATAAATAAGTGACATTTTTGTTTCACTCAAATTCACTGTTCAAAATTTGCTTTAACGAATAAAACATGAGAATAGCTAATGAAAGAAGAAAAATTTAGCTTACAAAAAAAAAGGAAGAGGAAAAAAATTGTGCTTTTTATGAAGAAGTCAAAGGTGCTATTTAACTTATTTTATATGAAATTTTATCCTATTAACAAAATATAATACTATCATTGCAAATTTTCATTAAAAATTAAAATTATTTAAAATTTTGCATGTTGCAAATGATTTTAATGAATTTTGTACTTCTTAGTGTTAATTTTTTTTTTTTGCTTTTTTCTGTAATTATAAATTGGAAATGAACTAACGAAATTAGAATCGTTCATTTTTTATTGAATGATAATATAGCAATATCATCTGTGCATATACATATCTTTGCAATTTTGCTCAAATGTCTCAAATGCAGTTAAATGGATGGATGGATGTGTTCTTCTAGAATATGTTAATTTGCAATCAAATACTGATATGACAATAGCAATGAAAAAAAAAAAAAACAAAATCATTTTTTATTTATAGACATATCTGAAACGATTAAAATGTTTGCATAATTTATCATTGTTAAAAATGGAATACCTATCTAAAGCTATCAAATAATTTGAGAAATGAATGAATGAATGAATGAATGTGCTGTTCTAACATATGTAAATTTATAATCAAATTTCATCAATTAAGCAAATTTTCCACTTTATGCTAATATTCTATTTATATTCATTTTCCATCTCAAATTCTGCTCAGTCAAAGAATTTATTTTGCAGTGAAAAAGGCAAAAATGTCGGTAAGTGCTACAATTTGGTTATAGTGAAAAGTTCGAAATTTATAAACATATCTTGGAAGAAAAATTAACTTATTATTAGATAAATTGACTATAGAAAGAAATGACAATTAATGATAATTAAATGTGATACAGAATATCAAAAGTGTAAGATTACCTTTCAAAGCGAATAATAATTTACCGGATAGTCTGAAAAGATTTTAAATGAAAAAGGTTATTATATCAAATAAGATTTAAAAAAAAAAAACGATAAATCATTTAATTTTCATGCATAATAAGATTGTCAAAATCTGTTTAGGTGTACGTTTTTTTTTTTTTTTGAAATGCTCAAGAGATATTTTTTCATTCAATTGAAAATTAATTTAATTCAAAAATTTACATCCCGAATTTACACATGTTAAGTGTTTAGCTAAAATAAATAGTTTAGATGTAAATAATATAAACTTACAAAATGTATCAGCAAAATTTTCAGTGAGTGACAAAATCGAATGGGAGAGAGAGAGAGACAGAGAGAGAGACAGAGAGACAGAGAGAGAGACAGAGAGAGAGAGAGAGAAAGAGAAAAGAGAGAAAATGAAAAATTAGAAAAAAAAATGAAAATTGGATGATAAAATTGAGATAGCAAATAAATGATATGAATGTGAAGAAAATATATTTTTGCTGATTTAAAANAAAAAAAAAAAAAAATATTTTTCATAGCTATCATTCATTTTTCTGAAATCGGCTCATCCATCAAAACATGAACGTTTTTCAAAATTCCTTTAGCGAACATTATTCCCATGGGAAATTGAAACAACAACAACAACCAATGAAATGGATATTTCACAAGATATGAAACGTGGCTAACATTTGACATTTTCTATGAACAAATTTTAGACTACAAATTTTTGAAAGTATTATAACGAAATTCCAAGCAATTCGAAAACTTCATCTTTCTTTTTTTTTTGTCTTCCACAATAAAACATACAAACGAAAGATTTTGCAAATATATTTTAAAAAAAAATAATAAATTTTTTTTTCTAGGATAAGTGTAAATTTGGATGGATTTGAAGACTGCACAATATGAAATAATTAGCGTTGCTTTTTTTTTTTTAAAACTTCAATTAACTATGAAAAAGTCATAAAAGTAATGAGCAGTAAATTGATCATTGCATTACTAATGATGATAGCATTTGTTTGCAACAACAATATCTGATGATCGTTTAGCAACAGATTTTGATAGCATTAAGAAGGGAGCTTGCAAAGGTCATGAGAAAGGTGCTAATTATTTCATTGGTAAAATTCGGCAATTTCTGCAACACAACAAAAAATCAGGTTAATAATAAGCACTAAAAGTGCTTCGTTGGAATTTTGATTTTCATAAAAAAAAATAATAATAACTATCATTATCAACTCTAATTTCTTCATATTTCTTTGTATCCTATTTAATTAAAATTCCTCGTAACAAAATACAAAATTTGAAAAATTTTTAACAATTTGATCACAGATTTAAAAAACATTCGTTCATTTATCAAAGCTATTTTATTTCATTGATTTTTTTAGAATTTTTTCAGAACAATTAACAGCTCTCGAACATGAGCAAAGTCACGAACAAAATCATGCTATTGCAGATAGAAAAATCCCGGTAAATTAACAAAATTTTTAAATTTGTATTTTAACAAACTTTCAACAAATCATTTTTATTATTTAATTTAAAAAGAAAGAAAGAAAAAAGGGCAGAGTTCATTCTTTTTTAAGTGGAAATTTTGGATCATTTCAGGTAAAATCACCTGAACAGCATTCACACACAGAGGCAGGTAATATTTATATTTATTTCTTTTTTTTTTCAAACTAATCAATTAATTTTTAAATGACAGCGATTTGCAAGATTTGTCAATATAAATTGTATAAAGATATTTTACACCAATCGGAAAATTTTTTTTTTCTAAAAATTTATCATTTAATTTACCGAGATACTAGAAATAATCATTTACTTACAAATGACAATTAATAATTTATTAATAGGTTTGAATTCCATGTTAATATCAGGTACAATAAGTTTAATTATGTAATATAATTAACAGTTAATGAATTCATTTTTTTTTTTGCTTAAGTTTTCTTCCTAGCAAAATAAAGTAATGTAATATATTTATTTCGTAGATGTATCAATGAGGGGATTAGAAGTAGCAGTTGGCTCGGAACATTCTGAAGCGATGGTACAGGTAAGTAATACCTATAATTTTCCTTATCAAATTACATGAAATGATAAATATCTGAAGTTATTAAAAAAAACATAATTGTAATTAAAAAGAGAAAAATGAAAATTGTTTTATGTGAATACAGAATAAATAACTGAAAATATAATCAAATTAATTACCAAAGAATAGCACGATGGAATAATCAAGGACTACATTATATGTGAGGAAAAAAAAATCAATGAAAATAAGTATATCAGTTTCAATTTTTGGATTTATTGAAGTTTAAATTTGAGCATTGAATAGAATCCCATTTACAATTGTTATAGAAAAATTTAGCACTATCAATTAAACGGATTTAACTATGATTGATGCAACAATTGATAAACCTGATTTGAGAGATAATTGAAGGTTAAGAATTTTTTTTCAAATTCATCCTCAACTTAAACCATATTTTTATTCTTACATTCGATGTATTATTTTTGTTATTTTAGAATAAACCAGCAACGCAATTAGCAATCCGGCAATTATCAAAGGATTAGTTTTTTGAAAATTTAAATAGCAAAATTGCTATCATTGTTATCACACGTGAATATTACAATAACTTTAACATCATTTATGCTCTTCTTTTACATTTATTAATTGCAGTTTAAAATTTTAATACTATAAAAATTCATCGCTTCCTGTTTTAGAGTTATTTTCAACATACTATGATTGTATTAGAAAAGCTACTAAACATGAATTTAATATTCGAATAGCATTGCATATCGTTAAAATCTTTCGTTTGCTTAATTTTGTTTTTTATTTTTTAAAGCCAGAAGAAAAGCAATTGAATGTGGACATACATCATTTTCGTAAGCCATATATGCTACGAGAATCGAATTACTGGTTTATCATTTTTAAAGGAACAATAGCATCACTTTGTATTGCACTGAATATCATTCATTTACTCAATATTATTGGACTATTTCCGCCAACATTTAGTTTTTTCAAATTGGAACCTACAAATTATAATGTGAATAATTAAGTGAAAATTTTTTTTGTTCTTTTAAACATTGATTTGAGCTTAAATACAAATATGATTAAGGATTTAATTTATTTCCAAAAATAAATTTTATTACATTTAAAAAAAACAATATTTTCAAAGTACCAAAAATTAAAATAAAATATGATTTAACTGTAGAAAAAAATCGGTAATAGAAAAAGTTCTATCAATAGCAGATAAAAATATCATTAATTTCATTAAAACAAAGAAAAAATTCCATTTCAACTTTTTTTTCTACATTATTATTAAACTTAAACAGTTAAATTAGTATTAATTTAGAAAGAAAAAAATTTTTTTTGTAGATTTATACTGATTTGTCCTATTTTTACAAAAAAAATTTTCTTATAAATTTTTTGAAAACATAAATTTAAAAGCATTTCTTTCTTTCTTTTTTTTTTGCAGTACGCGATTACATTAGCAACAAGTAATATTAACAAATTATTTATGAATCGTATTGGTTTAGTTGTCCGTTGGATACCATATTCGGAAAAATCAGAAACTGAAATTTACTCAAACTGCAAGGGTATGCTTTTAATCAATCAATTAGATGGAATTATAATAAATGAGAATTTCAATTATCTATAATTTTAACTTCAAATTAAAATAGAGAATAATTTCAATTAATCTCAAATTAAAATAAAGAACTGCTAAGTAAAAATACTATTTCTCTTATAGCTATATTCATAAAAAAAAAAGAATTTCTGATAACAGCTATTATTACGAAATTTTTAGTTTTAATCAATAATTACCAATGGTCACAGTGGACAGAATTTGAGAAACAAACTGATCAACATTGCGGTATTAAAATATATATTCGATATTATAATTTGAGAATCATAAAAGAAATTCAAACTATCCGCGGGCAAATATTACCAACGCATTGTCCTGCAACAGTACAGTATAAACGTATATGGGAACGTGCTTGTAAGTTTTTTCCTTCCGCGTAAATTACGACGTAATACGTGAGCATTACAATATCATTTCTGTTAATGACAGTTTTCAGGTTGTCCTCGAAATAATCTGCAACCACTTGAAAATTACCTCAATCTTTCATACGATAAGGCATTCTGCATTGTAAAATCTAGTTAGTAAATTTTTTTTTTTTTTTTTGAAAAAAAATTTTAATATCTAAAAATTAAAGTTTAAACTATTTATCTTAATTTTGCTTGTTTGCTTACGAAGAATAATTTGCTTCATGAAGTTGACATAAAAGATTACAATGAGTTTTTTTTTCGACATTTTTAAGTTATAATTTTAAAAAAACGATTAAAAATAAACAAAAAATGCTTGATAGAAAAATTTTGGTTTTTTTCACTAATTTTCACTACCCATTTTCTAATTACTTTTTTTTTCAGCTTTACGTAATGTTAATGCAAGTAAATTGTCAACAATATGTGAAATTGGCAAATTATGGGCACCATTACCAATAGCGGCTTTTTCTGTGAATAATTCGTATCAACGAAATAATGTTGTCAAAAGTTACGGTATATTATAGCTTTTCAAGTACATAATTATCATAAGAATTTATAAAATTGATCATTATTGATCATTAAAATTAATTGCCTTTTTTGATTTTGATAAGAAATCATTAGCAATTCAAATTTAAATTATTCTCATCAAAAATTATTCTTATATTATTCTTACAAATGATTTTTTTAATCAAAATTGTCCACAATTTTTATCTTTTTTTAAATTTAAATTTACAATTTTTATTAGTTCATTTTGCGCAATTAAGATGATTAAATAAAAGTTTAAAATTTCATTTGTTAATTTATTTTAGATCATAAGTTTTTACTTTTTTTCCATTTTAGT